AATGGAGCAGTGTTAGTCGTATTAGTAGTAGTAACACATGGTTATCAAATCCACCCTACTCAATATTCATCAAAGGGACAGTAACTATGAAGATACTTCAGATAAATTAGTCTCATCAATAAAAAATTTGCTACTCTATCGTCCCCACCTCAATGAACATGAATCTAAAAAAGCAAAATAAAAATATTTTTCGAGCCTTAAAGTTGGTCTCTTTGTCAAGATTTTCTCGAGACTCTCCACATTAAGTCGCGCGGGATCTATTCTGCTCCAAATTCCAAAATAGGTTCTCCAGCCATTGTGCTGTTTACGAGAACCGAATATGGGTGGTTTTCTTCTGGGATTTTAAAGTGCAGCTTTATAAACGTCACCCTTTATTTAATGATCACAAGATCAAATTGATGAGGGAGAATAGCAATTTTATTGGGCAAATAAGTTTTCCATTCCAACCAGGAGCTATGCTATAAACAGATTCACATGACAAAGCATCAAAACAAATAGACGCCAAATGTAGTTAGGACCATATTGGTGTATTCAAGTGGGGTGAGGGAAAATTGCTGTATGCGTCGGGAGACATATTTCTACTTATACGTCCCTGAGGCATTGGACGTCGTTCATCACGCAAATTGACTAAATATTTTTTCATAAAATTATCATTTTCAGTTTTTTAGTTTTTAAAATTTATCTTTCTGACATATTCATTAGCTCCATGTTAGAGATTATTAATTCTTTAAGAGTAAGATCCAAAATTCATTGCAAAAATGGATTTTTAAGAGGGGACTCATTTCTAACTATAAGTCTTGGGCAATGGGAAACGTGTCGAAGGATGAGTACATGTATTTACCCCAAGTCTTAACCATTGGATGTGAAATTACATGGCTGCATTTATTTCATTTGTTGAGCTTAAAATTCAAAAGAAATTTTCTCAAATTTTGCGACACTCCCATGATATGGGATCTCGCATCATATGGTAGTAAGTAATTGAGTCGTCTTTGTATCAAAGGTAAATAGTCTTATTGTATACAATCCCTATAAAACATGAGTATATTAGAACAATGGCAATGAAAGGTATGAAGTATCGTACCATGGTTTTTTTCTTGCCAAAGATTTCCTGTTGTCGCCGGAGTATACTATCCATTCACTCCCTCAGCAAAATACATGTTAGGGATACCTTTTAGGTCTCAAATTTTGAGGTTGTAATCTCTACACCCCATAGAATAATCACAAGAACAACAAAAAACAAAACAAACTATTCATATATTAGAAACAATTAATACATCAAGATTAAATAAAGACTGACCAACTTTTTAAGGGCCAGATATAAGTATCACAAAAACTCAGAATTCAAATTTTTTCTTTTAAAAATAATTATCTAATAATTTTTTATGTGGTTCCCAAAATCTTAGACTAAAAAATCAACCTATGTGTTCCAGCCAAGGAGTAGACGTGCAGTATGCTCCCACAGGAGCACAATACATGCGCTCTTTACTCTTTCATTGAAGGCCAGAGAAGTGGATCTTATGCACATTAGATGACGAGCCTAAGTTGGTCTCACACCTTTTACACCCGAATACATAACTGTTTTCTATTGGTTTTTTGTTTTTTGTTTTGACAGTTCAACTGCTGGAATCGAACTTAAGATATAGCGTTGCTGCATATCAGCTGGAAACCACACAAGCCCAAACCCGGTTCCTATTTTCTATTGGGTTGTTGTTCATAGTCTCCCATCCTCTTAACCTCGTCACACTTTTTGCTGGTAGGATAAGATTCTCTTACTCGGACCAAACTAGTTGCCCATCAGATTGGCAAACTCTTGTTTTTTTTACCTTTTTTTTTTTTTTTTTTTAATATAGTTAACGGTAGGACGTTACGTCGAGGCATCCACCCCGACCATTGATTCTCCAAGCCCACTCCCATTAGCAGCTGAGAGTTGAGTTTTGGACATAGCTATTTAAAAATATATATAAGGGTGTGGTTTTTATAAGGCTAAGGCTAAGGCTCCGAATCCAGTCCCATTCCCATTGGCAGCTGAGAGTTGAGTTTTGGACATGGCTAGTTTCTATAAGGCCGGGGCTCTAAACAATCAAAGTAAGGCGCACTTTCATATAGTGTTAGAAGATGTCCTTTCAGCACCGAAAGTCTTTATGATGGATTGAAAATCTGTTTTAATCTCTAGTTATGAAATTTCTGGCTTCAAAAATAGTATATATCAAGCAGAACTATGAACCCTTGAAAATATTGAAAATTGATGGTCTCGATAATACACTACAAGATACATTATTTTCGAAACTTGAATTCCATTTTTTTTATGTTAATATCTCAAGGTCATTATGATCAGATTTGAGGGTTTTTCCACATCGAAATAAATTCTTCTATTGATTTTTTGGAAGTGTACTTTAATTTGATTGTTTAGGGCCTCAGCCTAATATAAACTTTTTTTATTGTTTAGGGCCTCAGCCTAATATAAACTTTTTCCTATAAGCAAAGGACGAGAATGTTTAGTGTCACCACCGGAAAACTTACATATTTTTGAGGTGTTTCTTCGTGTTGCGAAATTATGTTTTCATGGCTGCCAATAGGAAGAGGTGAAAATAACACTGATATGGCTACTGAGACGTCCTAACGGAGTCTAAACAAGCACACCGAATCCAATAATTGTGCTCTGTTTTGGATTATGCTCTCAAGTCTCAAATAATACAACTCAATTGTATGCAGGACAGGGAATGTGTACTCCTGGTGGGTGTGGGGTTGAAGTCGTGCAATTATTTGATTATTCCCAATCCTTGAGAAGATATATTATAAGAAGAGGACATATTTACTATCTTTTCCTTCCACCATTCAAATTACCACATTCTCTTCGAATGAGTAGAGAAACAAATAGTGGAAATGTATATAATAAGATTAGTACGATCACAATTATTCTCTTCAAATGAGTTGAGAAACAAATAGGGGAAATGTATATAATAAGATTATTTATGTTTGGTACGATCACAACTATTCTCTTCAAATGAGTTGAGAAACAAATAGGGGAACTGTATATAATAAGATTATTTATGTTTGGTACGATCACAATTGTCATTGTTAGTTATATGTGAAATCAAGTGGTAGGGGATGTGCTCATGTCCGGAACAAATTCTAAACAGTCAAACTTTGTCATATGCAATTTTGGTGTCGAAAATTCTTAGGATGATACGAGAGTCTATTTTCATCTTTAATTATAAAATTTTAAGCTCCAAAAATAGTTCAAATCAAAGTGATATGAATAGTCAAAGATAATATGTAATAAGCATGAAAATATTGAAAATGAACAGTCCAACTTATAACTAGTCGGGTCGTGTAGGGTCGGTGTCATTCCCACCCCTACCCACATATCAATAAACCTGGACTGGCCAAATAAGATAACAACACTAAACCAGTTTGGAGGTCCATCCAAACAAACCCTTATAGTCATGGGTCAACAAATATCCAATAGAAAAATTATCACAAATATATCTTAATTTTCATCTATTTAGAAAAAAACAAGGTAATCGTATTACCGTGAAGCACAATTACGGTACTGTAAAAACTAAAAACTAAAGTACCGTAAAAACTAACCCATGTTATATGGTATTTTAAGTATGGTAAAAACTAACCTATGCTATGGGGCACTACAAATCCCGTAAGCCTTCTATTTATATTTATCTCTTTCATCTTTCTAAATTTTTTTTGTATATTTATCTTCTTTTTTTTCTAATTCTTTTTACATTTATCTCTTTTTTCTCTTTAATTCTTTTTAATATTTATCTCTATTTTTTTTCTAATTCTTTTTAATATTTATCTCTACTTTCTCTCTAATTCTTTTTAATATTTATTTCTACTTTCTCTCTCTAAATCTTTTCTCTCTCTCTACTTCATCAACTCAACAAACGTGATTCCAACCCAATACAAATCTGAGTCCGTCTAATTTTCATAGGAGATGGGATTCAAGGGAGTTTTTATAGGGGATATAAGGTACTCACATATTATACAAATATCTTTCGAGAGAGAAATAAGAGATAAATATTAAAAAGAATTAGAGAGAGAAATAACATATAAACATAAAAACAATTAGAGATGAAAGACATAAATATAAATATAAGGAGAAAAAGGTTTACGACATTTGAAGTACCGTGGCGTATAACATAGGTTAGTTTTTACTGTGGGTTTTTTTCTAAATAGAAGAAAATTAAGGTATATTTGTGATAATTTGCCAAAAAAATATTATTATATTTATTTATAAGAAAATTGTTGCACACAACAGAGACCACATTTCTACATTTGTAGTCCCCGAGATATAAAGCATTCATCTTAAAGATGGACACAAATACGTGCCTATCTAAAAACAATTAACACTAACCATTCAAATGTTTAATTAATAGAATTATCGTTATTTTTTTATATTCATGATCTTCATGTTATAGATTACATCTCCTTCAAAATTAAGTCCACAAATCTATCTCAAAAATAAATTTTCAAGAGATGACTCATTTCTATATGGAAGCAGAAATCGTGTTCTTACTTATATCCTAAAAAATTATTAATAAGGCAGATCAACACTTAAAGAGAGGCCTGAGACTCCATCCCAGCCGAACACTCTTTTCTATTGTTCTTTCCTATATATATATATATATATATATATAATAAAGTTACGTTAATTTAAACGTATTCGTATTAAGTCGCACCTACTTAATTTTATTTAACTATGTTAATTTTGTTGTTTATTTTTTTTTAGTTAATTATTACTTAAATACTTATTTTATATAT